CAACAGTCTCTCGATCCAGCACTGAGGCTGAATATCGAGCATTGGCTCATGCTACCGCAGAGTTAAGTTGGTTACAGATGCTACTGCATGATCTGACACTTCCTACTACTTCCCCTCCTATTCTTTGTTGTGATAACCTCTCTGCTATTGCCCTTGCTTCAAATCCAGTGTTTCATACTCGCCCTAAACACATTGAAGTCGATTGTCACTTTACTCGCGAGAAGGTTGCAGCCAAGAAAGTTGTTCTGCAGTATGTTCCTTCTGTGGATCAAATCGCTGACATTTTTACCAAACCTTTATCCAGTTCCAGATTTCAGTTTCTCAAGACCAAGCTATTGGTCACTTCCTCTCCCATCAGCTTGCAGGGGACTGATAATATATCACCTACAAAACAAGCAGAGCCACAAGCTGCTGCCAGCAGAGCCACATCAAAGCCACAACAAGCAGAGCCACAAGCTGCTGCTAGCAGAGCCATAACAGGAGCTGCTGTCATTAACAGCTAAAACCATCTAAGAGATAAAGTTTGTTAGTTAGTTAGTTAGTTAGTTACATTAGGTAGTTAGTTAGTTAGAGATATTATTAGTCTGTTAGATATTTTTTGTATAAATGTATCCATGTAATCAAATATTCAAATGAATGAAATAAGTCTTTAGTTACCCCATACAATTTGTATAGAATGCTTCTAAAGCTACATGTTCAAAGACAGAAAAAGTGAGAGTTAGGGTTTGAAATTGTGATGATGCATCGCCTTCACTGTGATGTGATGTTTTGGTCTTAGTTTTTTTTTTTCCTCCTTGCCATGTCATTAGTGCTTCATTAGAGCACCAAAATTAGTGTTTTGAATCATTGCGAATATATATATATATGGCTATTTTGGTCATTTTTCCTAAACTTGTCCTTATAGACAAACTAATTTAGCACTTGCACATTTGACCAAACAAAATTCAAAATTAGATTTTTGGCCAAGGAGCTCCAAAAAAAAAAAATAAAAATTAGTGAAACATCCCTCTCTAACTTTGTGTAGTAGGAGAGGTCCAAGATTTTTTTTTTTTATTAGCTAAGGTCCCTCAACATTTTCACAGAGAAAATTCAATTCAGAAAAATTTTGTCTGACTCAGAAAAATTACACTTGACTCAAAGAAATTTCGGCCCTTACTCAGAAAAATTTTGATATTTCTCTGGTATAATCAATGAGAAATTTCTCTATGAAAATTGAAATTTCTCTAAGTCGGGACGAAATTTCTCTGAGTTGAACAAAAGTTATCTAAATCGAATTTTCTCTGTAGAAATGTTGCAGGACCTTAACTACTATGAAAATATTATATATCATTTATCTTATAAAATCTTAATATCATAGACCTTAAAAAAAAAATCCCAAAAAATTATGGCCATATACGGATTTTTGTTGATAAATCCCATTTAGAAATGTTCTAACCCAAGAAGTCCTTGAATGAATTTTTTAACCCACTAAATTTCATGTATTTATACTTTTATTCCATAAAGTCTTTTTTCTTAATTTACACTATTTTCTTAGACTCTTATGTCTTTATATTTAATATTGATATTTAATGTTAGGAGAAGAGAGGGAAGTGAGGCATAAGAAATTTCACACATAAATTGAATAACATTGATGTTATTATTTTATATTATTATATAATGTGAATATATTTTTAATTGACAACACATTAAAAATAATGTGAACATTCTCTATCATCTGATGTGAACGTTTACAACACCTTTCCGAAAAATCCTCTCTCATTTGATGTAGTGATGTGGACGTTCACAACATGTGAACATTCTTATTTTTAATTGATAACACATTAAAAATAATACGAACATTCTCTCTCATCTGATGTGAACGTTCACAAATCCTTTTCGAAAAATTCTCTCTCATTTAATGTAGTGATGTAAGCGTTCACAACATGTGATATTTTTAATTGACAACATATTTTTATTCACAACATGTAGTAATGTGAACGTTCACAACATGTAGTAATGTGAACGTTCACAACATGTGAGCATTCTCTCTCATCTAATGTAGTGATGTAAACATTCACATTCGTATGTTTTATTATGAATATTCACATTATGTAATTGACAACACAATGAGAAAAATTCAATCCAAATTAATGTAAATATAATGATGTGAATATTCATTTTAATTACATAATGTGAATATTCACATCATGTAATTGGCAACACAATGAAAAAATTCATTTCAAATTAATATGAATATAATGGCAATTTCCTATGCTTGAGAACTACCAAAATATAATGACAATCAACATTAAATATCTACATTAATAGGGGGGCAAGAGAGATTGGGGGTGTTTTGGTCATCTTACCTCAAATAAGATCTAGTGAAATAATAAAAAAGAATATGGATTAGATGAAATAAAATTCTTAAAAAAGAACTTATCAAAAAAGTTCCCTTTTATTTATTAAAGTTAGAAATTTAAAATTGTACTCGACATTCTTTCAATGATATAGAAAACATCTACCACATTGTCATTTCTCATATTTCTAACCTCAATGGATTAAACTTAAAGTTGAGATTAAACCAAAGAAAGACGAGATTATTAAGTTAATTGAAGTGAAAACTGCTTCTTGTGTTAAATCTTTAAATGTCTAATTTTTAATACAAGAACAAGAGTAACTCTTTTTTTTTTTTTTTTTCAGTAAGAACAAGAGTAACTTGTGATAATATATATATACTAATTTAAGAAAGCCAGTGTAAGGCACGGGCTATTATTTAAGTTTTGTATTTTGATAATTTTAAAAAAATTAAAATATTATCCTATGAAATTGAATAGAATACATCATTATATTTATAATAGAATTATGCGTTATAATATGTATCATTTTTTGATTTGCTATACACCCAATGATATAGACTCCAATTCTATTACCATATCATATTGGTGAATTATGAGTCTTTAACATTTCTTCTGAATTTATAAAAAAATTAATTATGGTGTGTAACTTTTTCAACAGATAAATATAAAAAAAATATTAAGATAATTCTCTCATTAAAAAAAAACTGCTAAGATAATTCACTGAACTAATAAAAAGCAAAAGAAAAAATATATATACCAAATAACTAATTTTATTAATACATAAATCATACTCGCAAAACAAATAACCAATTTTATTAATAAATAAATCATTAAGTAAATTAATAATTTTCAATGATATGAAAAATATTTTTCAGGTAACCATTTTGTTAATAAATAAATCATTAAGTCAATTAATAGTTTTTAATGAAATGAGAAATATTTTCAATAAACAATTTTGATAATTTATTATTGCATAGGAGAATTAAATTTCCCCCCCTAAGTATTGTGTTAAATGAAAATTTTATAACAAACGATAGTTATAATTTCTAATATTTATGGACCGATTCATATCTTAAACAAATCTTATGGGTGTATTTGTAAGTTGTTAAAAAAATAAATATTTATATTTCATAATTGACTAGGAATGTTTGCGTAATTACGAAAAAACCTGTTTCATGATTGATCAAGAATGTTTACGTAATTACGAAAATACCTGTTGTATAATTGATCAAGAATGTTTGTTTAATTACGAAAAAACCTTCATTAACATATAGGTCACTATTAGTAATTTATTTAAAATGAAAGGGCAAAATTGAAAAGAAAAGACAAACTACAAGTTATTATTACAGTACATTTAAGTTTTGTATTTTGATAATTTTTAAAAATTAAAATATTGTTCTATGAAATTGAACAGAATAAATCATTATATATATGATAGAATTATGTGGTATGATATGTATCATTTTTTGATTTGTTATATACCCAATGATTTAGACTCCAAGTCTATTACTATATAATTTTTGGTGAATTTATAAGTCTTTAATATTTCTTCTGAATTTTATAAAATAAAAAAAAAAAATAAAATATAAAAATTTGTGGTGTAGAGGTTATTACTGTAATGTACAAAACGCTTGTACGAGTATGCTCCAATAACAAACTAAGGCCAAGTTTGGGAAGACTAAAAAAGTGCACTTTTTGTCTTTTTGGACTAAAAAAATTGAGATTGAAAATATGGATATTTGGGTTAACTTTTTGACTTTTTATTGAAAAATGTGTTAATAAAAATATTAGAAATTGATTTGTAGGGAAAAATTTGAATTGGGAGTTGTGCAGCCGTAATTGTTGACTTTTGGTGAATAGTGTTAACTTTTTTAGCTTTTTGAGTAACTCCTTTTTGACTTTTTGACTTTTTTGGATCTTCCCAAACTTGGCCTAAAGCAACCCAGCACCGAACACAACTTAAGACTTGATACATTAGAGACAATTTAGCAATAATCAGGTTCACTAAACACTTGATTGAAGTGCTTAGAATTATTACCCACAAGCACACATCTAATATTACAGAGAGGGAGAAAGGGGGGAGAGAGAGTTTTATTCATCTTGCCTATTTCGCTATGGCATCGACGAAATGAGCAATGTTGCATTTCCACTTTGATACAATGTACATGTAAGGGAGCTCAAAATCTTACGCCTTTTCGTCTATTTCTTCCATCCGAAAGGTTGAACATGCTTCGGCCATACGTGGTTTTCATCATATTTAGGAGGAGGGAAAATTGTAACAAAGTCACTAGTCCAAAGGACGTTATGACCACTGCTTTAGGAATCCAACGTGTGTGTTCTATGAAAAACATCAAATATTGGGCAAAACCAAAAGCTATAATAGTGGATGTTATAGAGACAAACAAGGAAATCAGGCCAATTATTAATCTGTTGGGCAGGGAATATAGAAAATCAATTGTTGCATAGCGTGTAGTGAAGATGGATAAAAAGATTAAGAATGTGGCGATGGCCGAGTATAGAGCGACTGCATTTGATATGGCAAATAATTTGAAGGTGATTTCTTTCTTTAAGTGTGGGTGGCCTCCATCATCGTTTCCCCCTGGCACTTGAATGGCTGCCGAAAATGCTATTGTGCCAATGATTGTTGTTGAAACAGTGCATGCACTTGCCAGGCTTACAATCCATTGCTCTTCAGATTGGATCATCCGACGATGGTCCTCGTCAAATACCATCATAGGTGTCTTTCCATCATGGTTCATTGTTGTTGTTGCCTGCACCGGCACAAGCTTTTCTACTTCCTACGCCATCAAGTTAGTTTGGAATGAGAAAGCAAGTTTATGGTGCATCCCAATAAATAATAATTATGCACGCACAGAAAAGTATCATTAAAAAGTGCACAAAAAATGTTCAGATTTATTCAAAGCACTTGTATTTATATTTTCCTATGCATGTAACATTATTGGATACTGAAAGGTAAAATAGTTGACAAAATTCTATAAAAGAAAATGACACATAATAATAAAATAGAATAATCGCATGCTTCTATGATTCATACAAATTTTGTTCCGCATCTTTTATTTTGCTGAAAATCAATAATTTATTATGTCTTGAGCTTCCCTATAGTTTTTTCCCCATTTTGTCATTTTCTTTTGTAAAATAGTAGAGATAAATAACAACTCTTGTTTGTAGGGAATTCAAGAAAAAAAATATCAAGATGTAATATAAACTCGAGAACTTTTTGCCTAGATACAAAACAAATGTATTACCTTGTACCATTGCAATTCACGCTGCATTTGTAAAACTGCACCAGAAGCAACTTCAAGTTGTGGTTGATATGGCATTCGTCCAACCAAGTGCAAGATATTGTTGCCTCCATTGTCTACTTTCAACAATAACTTTTTACGCACTCCCATTTGTTGAATAATAAAATTGAAAACATGTTCACAACGGTACATAACTGCAAGATGGAGAGCAGAATGCCCCTCTTCATCTACATAAGAAATTGCATCCGGAAATACCACTAAGATCTCTTCTACTATTTCTTGAATCCCATTTTTTGCTCCTAATAGAAAGGCCTTTTTAAGGATTGATGAATGTTCTGGACTACCCTGAAGTCCCCAGCAAAACATTCTCACAAACAATTTTGTGCGATCATGCATTGATTTTATCTCTTGAATGTGCTTGACATATGGCACTACAATTAGAATGAAGTCAAGAATGAAGTAAGTTTATAATCAAGTTGTGTGCAGTTAGTTGCAAGTAGCTACTGCAGAATTTCAACTATCTTTTGAACCATTTTTTGAGTATTAGTTGCTTGTAATTTCCGTCGAATTGTGAAAGAAAGCAATCCAAACCAGTTAAGAACTAATAATTAACTTTCACTGAGAAAAAAAAAAAAAAAAATCCAAACCAGTTAAGAATTAGAGGACAGTGCCGAACCTGTTAAGAATTAGAGGACAGTGCCAAGGTGATAGTTGGGGTTCATACTAATTGTACATAATACAACTCTCAGCAAGGGTACATGAAAATTCAATTGAATAATGATGGTTTTCCATCTTAAATTGTTATGCCCTCTGTTTTTGTGTTCTTTGTTCTTTGTTTTTGGTTTTGTTATCATTCTTAAAAATATGTGCTTTATGTCACTTTGGTTCTCTAAGTTATATTTTTTTTTCAATTTTGTCTTTAAACTTTCGTATTTGAGTTAAATTGGTCTAATTTCAATTGTGTCATCTAAATTGCATATATAGTTCCCAAAACATCTGTTTTGTGTTACTTTAAAATTTTAATTTTTTCAATTTCTTCCTATTCCCGTTTTGTGTCATTCAATTTCTTCCCAAAATATCCGTATTTGAGTTAAATTGATCACCAGCTTGTTGGTCACCCATTCCAGTCTGCTTTTTTAAGGGTTTGCGATTGATATATAGGCTCATAAGGCAAGGCTGGAATGACTTTTTAGCTTCGTTTATTAAATGGGTTGGACTTAGGAATGCTACTAGCATTAATATATATATATAGGACAGTTTTATAATACATACCCTTTTTTGGAGTGTGTATTATATGTTTCAATTATGATGTTTGTGATATTTGGTTATGACATTGTGGTTTTATTTACAACTTGGTTATGATTCGGTTATGACTCATTGTGGTGTTAGTTATGATTCATTTTAATATTGGTTACGACATATTATTATTATTTTGGTTGTAATCCAAAAGGTCTTCAGCTATAGCTTATATTAATATTGTTTTTGGTTACAACTCATTATATATATATATATATATATTTTATAGTTATGCCTCAAAAGAATTTAGTTATGATATTTGTGATAATTAACACTACAAATGTCCTAACTTATATATGATATACAATCTTTTTGAGGATATGTATTATAATTTCTAGCATGAGCCAGTATATACATGCATATAATTTACTTAGTTTTTATTTATTTTTATATAGAAAAGATTTACTTAAGATGGAAAACATATCTAACTTAGTCTCTAGTTAAAATGTAATGACTAAATATTTTGTGTCAACTCAATTACAAATTATTAATTTTAATTTTATAATATATTTTTTATTTAATAAATGGTTTTCTTTGATGAAATTGGGATTGTAATACCATGTTAGGGACGGGTTTGAGAGAGATTTTTATGTATAGGGTCGATCTTGGGCAAGAGATATTTTTGTATTTCTTAACCTAGGCTCAGCCCTAATCCGACGCAACTTGATATTTGTCCACCCCTGTAATATGCTTAGTCTTCTTCCGTCATTGTTTAGGAATCAAAGTCACTTAACACACTTTATGAATGGTATATTTTATTATCATTTTGTTACAATTTTGACAGTACATTAGAAATTGGATCAATTTGACACATTGAAAAGTGACATAAAATTCATACTTCAGAGATTATAAGTCTTTTTATATTTGGCTCTGTTTGGTGAAATTTTTTTTAAGTTAAAAGTTGATAATCAGAAAGTAGAATCTAAAAACATCTCTTTTTCAGCTTCTAAATAATCAGTTTTTTTTATTTTGTTTTATTTATTTCTACCTAATAAGTTATAAGTAGAAACTATATCAAACAGTTCGACACAGGCTTTTAAATTAAAATAAATTATAATCACATCCTAAAAAGTGTACCAAACAGCCCTTTTTAAGTCCGCAATGGTCTAATTCTTATACAATAGTATGGATCAAACCATAGTCTCATTTAGTCTTTTCTAATATTTGGATTAGAACTTATTTACCTATAGTCGGCTAACGCATGATTTAGTGACACCCAGTTGGTTGGGCTTCTTGTGTGCCTGTTATTGTGTGTTGTTGACTTTCTCACATAGTTGACTTTTATTTTAATGTAATTATCTATCTTCTACCAATAATTCCCAAATTATGAGTTTTATTGCATTTTAATTGCTAATCTTTTGATTTTGTCAATTTTGATCCCCCATTTGTGAGTTAAATAGTCCTTGCCACTCACGCTATCTAAAATAGTTAAATGGGAAGTGAGGTATTATTTAGACTTTATTAAAAAAGGGACAAATTATACTACTAATTCTTATATTTTGATTTTTGTATCATTTTGGTTCTTATAGTTTCAATTAATTCAACTTTGACTTTGAATTAATGACTTTGTTTTAATTTGAACTAATTGATTACAATTGTTAACAAGTTTTTTTTTTTTTTAATGAAAAACTCACTCAACAGCGGCATGTATCAAACTTTTAAACACAAAATTGTAAAGTTGGTTAATTGATGAGTTAACATGAACTAATTCAATGATTGTTTTATGTCAAAAGTTCTAACAATATTATCAATTGGACTAAATTGACACAATTTAAAATTACCAAAATTAATCAAATTGAAAGTCTAAATAACAAAATGACACATGGGACAAATATAAGGTGAGAGGGTAATTTCTGTAGCACAAATTGGGCCGAGCTAGGTGGAAGTGGGCTTAAGACTTGGCCGCATTAGTGAATTGAGCTATGCTTCAAATAGAGCTTGGTTTGGGCTGCACGAAGGTCAAATCGGTCAAAGAAGTTTGACCGAATAGGTAAACACTAATGTTCTTAGACCGAGCTACTTTCTAATGGCGGTCAAAGGTTTGACTGAGCTATATGGGAAGATGGTCAAATGTAATTGGTAGTAAAGCTTTGATTGGGCTAGGAGAAAGGCCATGCAACGTTAAGCATGGTGGTGCGTCGTGCTAGGCTTGCACGGCGCTGCGTGTTACACGGTTAAATCAGAGACGGACAGAGCAAGGTAGTTCGGCTGCTTGGCTGGAAACCGTGTAAAGAGTTGTGCCATCTCAATTGGCTTGCAGTGAGGAAGGTGTTAAAGGATGATCATTATCCTTTAAGAATGTGATTCCTAGGAGGACTCTACAAAGGAGAGTTAGAATCCTATTAGGATTGTGCCATGCAAAACTTACAAAAGCTCAAACCAAACCCTAATTCCAGGTATTGCAATTATTATTCCCGAATTTACAAAGCTTTTGTCTCATTCTTAGTCTATTTACTGACTTAAGCATGTGAGGGGTTTCTGGTATACACTCGTCGACTAGCTGATGTTTGTGATTTCAGGTCTTACGACGACGTTTGAAGGAACGCAAGTTTGATCAACATGATTATACAAGCGACAATTATTTCGTGCTCGCACATAGGGATTATCGATATAGTTTACCTTAAAAAAAATCTAACCAAATTAAAGGGAAAATTATGCAAATAGTCCTTGTAGTTTACACGATGTGTCAATTTGGTCCCTATAGTTTCAATTTACTCGATTTTGCCCCTTAATTTAACTGATTGTGTCATTTTAGTCCAATAAATAACGGTTGTTAAGTTAATTTAACGGAAAGTCAAACAATGTGTCAATTTGGTCCCTGTATTTTCCACAATGTATCAATTTAGTCCCTGACAAAATCGAGAAAATTGAACTTACAGAAACCAAATTGACACATCGTGTAAAGTATAGGGACCAAATTGACATATTGTTTGACCTTCCGTTAAATTAACTTAACAAGCGTTATTTGTTAGACTAAAATGACACAATCTGTTAAATTAAGGGGCAAAATCGAGTAAATTGAAACTATAGGGACCAAATTGACACATCGTGTAAACTACAGGGACTATTTACATAATTTACCCCAAATTAAAAGATTGAAAATCAAAGGGGAAAATTTAACAGAGCGCACACTATGCTTGTGTTTATAATCGTTTTGGTTAGGGAGCAAAATACAATCAAGTATATATTGAGAATCATGTCTGTTTTTAATCATTTTTAGTTTTGTTGAAGTTTTATGCGAAATTTTGAAAATATTCTAGCTCCAGTTAATTAATGTGGACAGAGTAAATTGTGGGGGATCATTAAAAATCACATTTTACACTTTAGGCACCAAATTGACAAACCTAAAAAACTAAAGGATAGGAAACAATTTTTTTTTTTCCCCGGTGAATATAGGAAACAATTTTAGTTCCTAAAGTATGTGTTATTTTTTATTTTAGTCTCTTAAGTTTTATTTTTATTTTTTAATTTTTTCTCTCGAAATTGTCAATTTAAGTCAATTTGGTTTTAAGTCTAACGTCCGTCTACATTGATAACAAAAACGTAGATAAAAGATAATTTTGATCCCTACAATATGCGTTTCTTATCATTTTATTCTCTCAAACTTCAAATTTTGTCATTTAGGTCACAAAGTTATCAATTTGAGTCAATTTGATTCTAGCTCAAATTGACAACGTTCAGAATTAAAATGAAAAAATTTAGAACTTCAGAACCTAAAATGACAAGAAATTCATATTTTAAGAATCAAAATTATCTTTTATCCAAGGATTACATATTTTTTCCGTTATTAACGTCAACGGACGTTAGAGAGATAACTAAAATTGACAATTTTAAGAACTAAAATGATAAAATTCAAACTTAAAAGATTAAAATGACAAAAAAACACATACTTTAAAAGGCTAAAATTTTTATTCAAAATTAAAACTAAAGGTGTTTGGTTTTTTTTATTATTTATTAAACAGTTAAAGGTGTGTAGTTTGAGAACCAGGTTGATTAACTATTATATTTCACGAGTAATGATTCATCCCCCTTTTTCCCCACCCCCTTTGACCCCCTCTCTCTCTCTCATTGGTTACTTTTTCTTTTTCTTTTTCTTTTTTTTCCTCCTCCTCCAATCACCCCCTGCCACGTGGCAAAGGGGGGGTGAGGGGGTGACCCCCAAAAGGGGGTCCCAAACATTATTCTATATTTCACTGAATCAAGTTAGTGAGTAGAGCTTTATATATACTTGCAAGACTGATAAGTAAAAGCAGAGAAGAAGATAAGCAATTCTGACAAACCAGATAAGTAGTCTTTTCTAAAAAGTCGAATTTGTGAACTTTGAATTGGCTTCTTCGTGTCCTCGCAAGCATTCGGTGAACGTTTGAAGACAAAAGGACCCTTTTGAACCGGAACAACTGAAAAATGGAAAATATTTGGTAGTTCAAAATTTTGTGGCTCAAATGGCTCAAATTCCTCAAAACGACGTCGTTTTACACTCATTTATACTCAAAACGACGTCGTTTTGAGGGATTTGAGCCATTTGAGCCACAAAATTTTGAGCTACCTAGCATTGTTGCTGAAAAATATATAATTCCACATGTGAACACCACTTTCCATGTAGAAATTTAGGTAAATTACACTATTAATCTCTCTAGTTTGAGTAAATTACATTATTAATCTTTCTAGTTTGAGTGAAATTTTACTTTGCTCCTCGTAATTTCAATTTGAACCTTATACTTTTAATTTTGTTACAATATGATTCTTCCGTTAGTTACTGTTAGAATTTTGAACGGAAAAAGAGCACATACAAAACTAGAAAGACCAATTGAAATTCAAAAGAAATTACAAAGGTCACTGGGGTAGTGAATAAATTATGCCAATGGTTCCTATAGTTTGTTTTGAATTTTACTTTGATGCCTCTAGTTTGGCATATAGTTTCATTTATTTATTTATTATTTTTTTTTCCGCTCAAAATGTCAACCGCATATGATAGATATATGACATTGCAATAAAATTAAAAATATGAGATTCAAATCATAAGGACTAAAACTGTAATGATTAAAGTCATACTTCTGTTAGACTACATGAACTAATAATATAATTTATTCTAAGATTTATTTGCTTTATCAAAATAAACAGATGTGCCATTTCATTAAATTAAGAGTAATATGATTGTGGGTAATTTAGCATGGGATTATATCAGAATCTAGAGGTTATTTTTACTCTTTTTTTTTTCCTTTGATTTTTCCTTTTTTGTTACCAAAAAAAAAAATAAAAAATCTCCAGTGGATGGTTTGTTGAGATAGCTCTTTGCCTCAAGAAGAACGGACACTTACATGGACTTGAGGCATTTCGTGGTGGGCACCCACATTTTGTGGATACTCTTAAAAGCGTGCCACACACTTTTTTAATTAAAATTTTGAATTCATAATATCGGACAATTTTTAACATCTCGTGGGCATTTTGAAAACATATCTTAAATCTTCTGTACATAACCTATTCGATGATTATCTTCATAATAATAATATTTTATATTCTTTGAAATGCAACTTGTACACTCTAAGGTATAGTTTGGGAAGTGGGTTGGCTTTTTGATTTTTTTTTTTTATTATTTTAGTCTGGGGCTAAAAAGCTTGGTTTAAGAAGGGTTTTTGACTTTTTTAATTTTTTTGTAAAAGAAAGAATATAATGATTATGGGTTAAATGTGATGTTTTGTCTTATTAGGTTAAAAAGTTTATTTTGTTTTTTGTGACTATTTTAACAAAAAAAACGTGACTTTTTTCTTCCCAAACCATGCCTATATATATTTTAAAATATTTATGAGATAAATATATTATGTATATTTTAATATTCTATAATTACTTCACATTCTTTAAATCAATTGCAGATGTTAGCCATCATGCTGTTGTTAAAATTTGGCATGATAAGTACAAAATGCTCCAGTAGTGCTATCAATTGTGCCAAATTTGAAATGATAGAAGTAGTTTGCCAAATTTTAGCATGATGAATGACTATTAATTTTATTAAATTTACCATATTGCCCCCCAAAATGCCACGTCATAGAGCCAAAGGGTGTTTTTCCAATGGTAACCAGAGTCCTTCCAATGACATTTGGTGGAGCTTGTAAACCTTCCATGACAATATCATGTGGTCCAACGGTCCAAATATTCACCATGAGTAGCACCGATTGACCTCGTGGCAGCCAATACTCCAAAATGATCACGTTATGGATATTAGCATCCAGCGGTAGGCCCCCACGAGCCTAGCCACATTTTTTTTATACCATTTTACATTGGGTAAATTATGTCTTTTTATTTTAACTCTTATATCATTTTAGTTCCGGTAATTTAATTAATTTAATTTGAATTTGAATTTATAATTTTATCTAAATTTGAACCAATTAACAATAACTCTTATAATTTCTTTTTATTTGTAAAAAATACGCATATAAGTGGCACGTGTCATATTTTTAAGAGTAAAATTTTAACTCAACTCAGTATGTTAATCAATTCGGTGATTATTTTTCATCAAATACACTAATGACATTATCAACTGGATTAAATTGACACAGAATCTAACATTAATGATCCAAATTGAGCCAATAGAAAATATAGAAATTAAAATGACATAAGGTATAAAACATATGGACCACAGGTATAATTTGCCCTTACATTTATCATTTCTTTTTTTACCACATTATTAGTATAATAGCTCTTATCACTCATACAAGTTTATCTCTAATGAGGTGCTAACAGATGAAATAATAAATATAATATGGCATAAAATTTAGTATGGGGAACATTACTCTTGAACTACACAAGAGTTAAATAGATTTTGTTTTTGTTTTTGTTTTTCTGTGTGAAGATAAATAAACTAATAAATGTGAAAAAGACAGCATAAAAATCATGAGAAAGGGAAATAGCCAGGAGACTTACAATAATAGATAAAACGCTTCCAGATGTTTAATTTTGTTCCGCTAGGAAAAGCGGACGGCATTTGGGCTAGTATTTCCAAATGAAAGACATCCTGCCACTGGGAGAATGCTAATCTAGGGTTGCTTGCAAGTAAATACATAGCCAAATCTGAAGCATTAATGGCATAAATCAAAAAAAATGATGATTATATGTAAACACTTAAATTGAAATATCTATTATTAGACTTGGAAGACAATTATTATTTTATCTTTTTGAATAATCAACCATGTAATGAGAACAAACAATTAAACTTGTATTATTGTGTTTGATGCAGCTTAAGTTAACCAGCTTATAGCTTAAATCAAGCTATTTCTCAGCTTATCTCAAAAGCTGGTCAGGAGGTGTTTAAATTTTTGACTTAAGCACGCAGCTGGTGTGGGGTGGCCAAAATTACTTAAATGCCCTCGTCAATACCCAAATATTAATATTAATATTAATTAAAAAATAAAAAATTGTATATTTCTGAAGAAAAAGAAAAAAATCAATATTAATTGAAAAATAAATATTAATTGGTATTAATTATTAATAAATTCATATTGTATATTTTTATATTAATTAAAAAATAAAAAATTGTATATTAGAAAAAGAAAAAAATCAATATTAATTGAAAAATAAATATTAATTGGTATTAATTATTAATAAATTCATATTGTATATTTTTATATAAATTAAAAAATAAAAAATTGTATATTTCTGAAGAAAAGAAAAAAAATCAATATTAATTAAAAAAATCAATATTAATTGGTATTAATTATTAATAAATTCATATTGTATATTTTTATATAAATTAAAAAATAAAAAATTGTATATTTCTGAAGAAAAGAAAAAAAATCAATATTAATTAAAAAAATCAATATTAATTGGTATTAATTATTAATAAATTAATATTGTAATTGAATTAATTATTAATTGATACTAATAAAAATTAAATATTAATATAATTTATACTAATTAATAATTTTAATATTAATTGAGACTAATTAAGTCATTAATTGATACTAATTAATAATTTTAGTATTAATTGATACTAATTAAGCAATTAATTGATACTAATTAATTTATAATGGAAAATAATTGTGACATAATAATTCCATTACATTTTTAGCAAATGTATCAATTTTATATTTAATTGATACTAATTAATACATTATATAACTTTTATTAATTAAATATATATACATATATATATTTTTAAATTAAAATTGAAAAAAAATGACAAAATAATAATTTTTATATCATATAAGGGCAGAAATGACAATTATACAGTAAAAAGCTATTTTACAGCTTATTAACCAAATATTACTTTGCTGTTTAAATCCATAATCTCACAGCTGCACCAAACAAGATAACGGCTTATGTTCACAGCTATAAATCATAATCTGTTAAGTTATAATCTATAATCACTTTTCCACAACTCTACCAAACGGGGCTTATATATCTCTCTATCTCATATGCAAGCTCACATCACCAATTTATTTTGATTAAGTTTTATACTTACCAATTTATGTGGATTAAGTTTTATTCGTGAATCAATTTAGGCTAGCTCAGTTGGCCACTCCTACACACTTCCCCTTCGAAGACTAGGATCCTTAGCACTAATTACAAAGATTGATAATTTCTCACTTATTATGGGGCTTTGGTATGTTATTTACTTCTTTTCCATTATGAAACTCTTTCTTAGGTCGGTTAGACTTTTCTATATTGTATATTGTATACTTCTACTAATTGAAAAAAATATAAATAAATAAATAAAATAATCATTTCTTAGTTTGATTGGGCTTCTCTATATTATAAATATTCATATTGACTGAAAAAAAAAAAAAAAAACTTCTTGTTTGGTTTCCAAACTGAAATACAATTATTTATTTATTTTTTAAAAATTTTTAGATGCACCTAATTTATAATTAAAGGCTAATATTGAAATGACTCTCCTTCTCTCTAGAACTCCAACCCTAAGGATTGCCATAACCTAAACATTTCGGTTTTTGTTATTAACAATATAAAACCCTAGTATTTAACTCATGCATACATCGGAACTTAAAAATATAAATTTTAGCTTGATTTATGTTTATTTTAGATTTTTTTTTTTAATTCATGTTATATTATAAATGACTTGAAGGTAATGTAGTTACTACTTTCAACTTTTATTTTATGTACAGTCATATTATTTCAAAAATATATTAGATTTTACAATTAAAAACAATATTTAAGCATATTAATTATATCATGTAATGAAAATTAAGTATGGAAATTTTTTAGCATTGAGTACATACTAATCTTTTAAAAGCTTCAATATTTCAATGCAAATTTATTAGTTGAATTTAAGGCAAAATCTTACACAATCCAGCATATCCAGCATTTTAGAAGAAGGCAAAATCTTACACAATCCAGCAATCTAACGCAATATGTGTTTTAGAACAGGTTAATTTTACACTTATTCATATATTTGTTTCTTTTTATTATTGGGGATTGATACAAATATTTGTATTTAAAAGAATGTTTAATAAAGACTTAAGGCTTGGTTTGGTTTGGTTTGGTTTGATCTTTAGTCTCGAGTATCTACATGTCCAAACATCTACATGTCCAAACATATGTATGTTAACGTATTTGTAAATAATAATATACGTTTGTGATGTTAAATATATGTTCATATGTATAAATGTATCATAACTTTTATTCACACATTTGCTCTTAAATCATTGTTCAATTTATTTTGGTTAATTGATTGATCCTCCATACATTACTATTTTTTTTTTTTGATCAGCAAAGAAAAATTTCATTTAACAGCATGAAATTAAAAGTACAGGAAGATGACATGCATCGAGAGAGATTCGGAAAGTACAAAATACCCCTACTACTGCTACTCGCATCCATACAACCAACTCCTTAGCCTCTCGATTTTTTTCTTAAAATAAATACATAAAAAAAGTTAAGAAGGACTTAACTAGAAAATAAAGACATGAATCCCCACATAATCAACCCACCAAAACACCCAAAACAAACTAAACTCAACTAACTAGCCCAACTCCCAAGCTGCCGAACCACCCAAACTAAAGACAAATCACCACCCACTCTGCCAAGACCACACCTCTGAAGCTGCCCACGCCTGTTGCCCACGCCCCACACCTATGCTGCCCGCACCACCCTATGCTGCAGCCCACGCCTACTGCTCACGCCACCCCTAAGTAGCTGCCAACTCCCAACTCCCAAAGCCCACACCACCAGAGCTGCTGCTTGACCGGCCAACAACACCTAAGCTGCTAATCCACAGTCATCACCGGCAAACTCCCCTGCTAGACCTTGACATTCAGCTCCAACATTGCAGCTCCAACATTGCCGATCATCACCCACATGCAACTCCAAACATTGCAGATCAACACCCACATTAACTTCCAACATTATCTCACCCACAGAACATCTCCCAACCGTTCTTCTTACTCACTGCCAAACCGCTAGGACACCAACCACTGGGAATTCGAACACCGACCAACTAGCAGAACATCTTCCTTCTCCAGTTCTTCTCCTAACACCCCTCAAACTCTCCCACGAAAAGGAGCGCTCGAATGAAAACCAGACAGAGATGGATCAACTCCGACACCCAAGTTTCCGCTCAACCAAGCATCGAATCTTCTCCAAAAATCTGAACCAGAGTTCACCCCTCAAGCTCCAACTTGCAAGAGAGCGCTCGAGTGAAGTTCCTGGACGTCCCCTACTGAAAACACCACACCAATACCCCCAAAAGATCAGCTAAAACGGCCCGGAAGCACCAACAAAAAACACCGCAGCACACCAAACACTCACCGCAGCACACCAAACACTCCTAGATGGGAAAATAATGGGGGACTCAAGTTTATTAACGGGAAGACAACAAACAAACACAGAGAAAGCTAGCCCAGCCGACCGCCATAGCCGAAGGCGGCGGCCGGCCGGCCCAAAGAGAGGCCCGGGGAGGAGTTTGTTCTTAAAATCCTCATTAACTACATTGATTTTAAGTTAATCTTGTCTCCAAATGTTTATCATTCAAAATATATCACTCAAAATCTCAAATCCGAAAATTACATCTCGCCTCTTAAAGTTTAAAATTTCATAACAAATTATCCATTTTATTAAAAAATATCAAATCAATTAACAATTTTTAGTGATATTAGAAATATATTTCAATTAATAATTCAAATAGTTTTATTATTGTATAAGAGACTAGTTAGGAATTGAGATATTTATAATTTTTCAAATTACAATAGACAATTCGTATTAAACAAAATTCAAGAGGTGTATTTATAATTTACTGTTAATTTTGAAATTAATTTTAAGTTATTTGGTTAGCCTGTGCATAACGACGTATGCTAACATATATATACACACTAGCGATTTGCGAACGCCAAGAAAATTTGAAAACTTAGGTATATGACATAATATAGGTGTATGCCATAACAATAGTAGTGGTAGTAGTACCAACTAGGCTTAACCTAGTTGGCTACTCTGCCTTCCTTAAGGCTTAGTCCTAATGAGGTTATGGGTTCAATTTTTTTTAGGAGGTTGAATTAAGAGAGTGTAAACACTTAAGTGCTTTACCAAGGGTGGAGAGATTTTCTCCCATAAGTGCTAACAACTAACATTTGCCGATCACCAAAAAAAAAAAAAAAAAAAAGAAAGTAGTGGTAGTAGTAGAACTTACCGAAGAACCTGGCAGTTATTTCAAGATGCATAAGCATATCCAACTCCGATTCCGATAACTGTATGTTGTGCACCTCACCTACTCTCAGAAAATAAAACAGAATCTCCCTCTGACCATAGGCAGCGGCCAAGTGAAGCGGTAAATACCCATCCAAATTACGAATGTACAGCAAGCTTCTGTTTCTTCCCACTAGTAACTCAGCAGCCTTTAAATGACCAACAATTGCAGCTTCATGAAGTGCAGTATTCCCCTCTTTGTTCACTCTTCTCAAATCCACCCTTCCAAACTCCACTTGATTCGTTATGAATTCTATTTTCTGCCCCGACATAATCCCTACCATCAGCGCTGTATCGGAGCTTTCTGTGATGCTATTTGTCACTGCTTCTGGATGTGACCTGTAAAAGCTTTCCGTGCTCTCCCAATCACCTTCCAGTATCGCTCGGTGCAGTGGCCCGTATTGGCTAAAATCGGCTTTTTGATTTTTTCAAGTTAAAACACACGTACACAAAAATGAGACTTAATTAAAAGTGGTTAGGAATGAATGGAAAATTATAGCATTGTCAACTTACGATGAGTTCCATACGATGCGGGATTGAAATCACCAGTAAAGAACCTTGTGTAGTTGCCGGAGATTGCTTTCATTTTATTTTTTTCTAAACTCCTCCTATACTCGAATGTATTATTGCTATTGCTAATGCTACCTCGATTTTATTTATTTATTTTTAATCTGTTTAGAGATCGCTCACTGTCATCTTATTTATGCTCTTAGTTTCACCTTCGAGTCTGATTATTTTTTAAGCCTTATATATATATATTTTTTAATTTGACTTTTTAAATTTTTGATTATTTTAATCTTATTAATTTTTTTTTGTTTTTTGTTTTTGATGAACTTTTGACTTTTTTTTTAATATAATTTTTGTAAGAGAAAAAGTAAAATGATTATGATTTGAATGTACCATTTTATTTTATTGACTTTTTAATCTTATTTAGTGAACTAAGAGATTATCTAAATAAGTATATTTTTTGATTTTTTATGAAAAAATATGTAAAAAAATTGAAATGATGTGCAAAAAAATAAGAAAATAATGTGACCTAAATAAGCACACTTATTTAATTTATACTAAATAATGACTAAATTAATTTCAATCATCTTATCAAACGGGGCTAAGCCAACCTAATGAAAATTAGCCATTTAGCAGCACACCAAATATGAAATAAAATAAAATTATCCCCTCCAAAACGAAATTCTACACCACACAAATATATTGAAAGACAAGACCCGACTCTTCAAGTCCAAGTGCTGCTTCATACGTGGGCAGCCTACGTAAAGCACTTTTCTTTCTTTAAAACTGGAAATTCTTTCTTTTATAAATAGATATTTAGCGCCATTCGAACGGTCAATGCAAGGAAGGTTCTATACTCTCTCTCTCTCTCTATATATATATATATATTTTTACGCTAAAAATTATTTTATTTATAAAAATAATAAGAAAGTTATATCAATAAAGAAGTTAAATGTATAAGTATTATAATAAAGTAAAATGATCTCAATTAAGTTAGTATTGTATAGTAAGTCCAATCATTTGCTAATATACAACATGTTAGTGAGAAACCAAGTAAAATAAATAAATAAATAAATAAAAAAAGCACCAAACAAAACAAACACCCCTCTGCTGACAGATCCAGGAATTTTATTCTTAAGGGGCAAAAATATATATATATATATATATCTCAATTTAAAAAAAATTATCTAATTTTTATTTTTTTTATTTTTTTATACCATATCAATTTCTACCATAACAAAAATTTAATAATATATTCTTTATAAACATATTTGAGTGTAAAAGTTTGAACATGTAATTGAAAATATTCTATTGTCTGTGTTAGCTTATGAAAGAAAAAACATTCATTGTTATATGTTTCTATTTACTAAAGGTAGACATTTATAATTGTTCTTAACACTTTTTCATGATATAGAAAACATCTACGATAGTGTCACTTCTCAAATTCCTCACCTCGACTTAAAAGTGAGATTAAACCAAAGAAAAGCCAGATTATTAAGTTAATCGATATGAAAACTACCTTTTGTATTAAGTCTTTGAATTTTGCATCAAACTTAAAAATAAGATTAAACCAAAGAAAGGCCAGATTGTTAAGTTAATTAAAGTGAAAACAACTTTTTGTAATAAATCTTTGAATTTTATTTTAAATACAACAATAAGAGTAACTCGTGATAATATTGTGGGAGCCGAAAAAAGATATACATAAAACGGTAAACAGAGTACATCCAAGCCCATCTGAGATGGATTGAATGAAGCCAAAGCCTACTGGACTGAAAGTCATTGCCGAATAGACATGAAATACAAAATGAGGAGAACGCTGAGTTAAGGGTACTTGTGCCGTACGTCAGAGCCGAGTATATCAGGTAAGTCGGCATTGTCCCATTAAGTGGGACCGGGCTATCCCTTTCTAAAAAGTATAGTAGGGAGATGGGTCTTGACAGAGTGATGATGAAGGGCTAAGCTACATAGAGAAAATATCAAGGAGAATGACTCTATAAAAGGAAAAAAAGAGGTTGAAGGAGGAGATATGTTCTAAAAACTTGTACCTTAAGAAACGAAAAGCAGCTAATCTTTCTATAGAAGCTAACTTGCTCATTGGAGTGTTAATTCTAGCACCACCGGCAAGAGTTCTTCTATTTCAGATGACATCTCAAGGATCTCTTGAGGGCTTGTTTGGATTAAAGAAGTATTCCAAAGCCATATCCTCACAATTGGCGCGGTCTGTGAGAATACTCAAACTCATCCATGGCAGGCCTAGCTCAAGATCCTTCGATCATTGGAGACAAAAATGTTCTACTAGGAACGATATTCGGTTCGGAAGATACTCTCGCACAAAGGTCTTTGAACTTTGACTTGACAACTCCTTCTTTGCCTTCAACATCAGTAGAAGACGCCATGCAAACCTTGATAAACCAAGCAAAGCGGAATGAGCAACGTTTGGAGGATATGGCAGCTAACAATGAGCACCCACACCAAGAACTGGCAAAATCCCAACAGATTGGACCACGGCATGAACGGGGTCAATGTCCAAGAAGGAAAGCCTATCAGCGAAATCAATCCCAGAGACATGATGATAGTAGTAGTACATCAGATTCCTATTGGGAAGAACCTAGAAAGTGAGGCTGAGTAGACTTGTCCAGCTAGTTAGATAATGGAAGTCCTCCACAAGTGCGACGTGGATGTAAAAAGAGAGACGATGACTTAGATTTAGAAGATAAGCATGATCCTTTCATATGACGTATAGCCAAGGCCGTTTTGTCTAAGAAGTTTAAAGCATCGTTGTTCACTCTATATGATGGAAAGTCGGACCCCACGGATCACGTTCGTCATTACAAGCAAGCAATGACACTGCATGCAGACGACGAGGCATTCATGTGCCGAATATTCCCTAATAGTTTGGGACCGCTCACCATTAGATGGTATTACAAGCTTGAACTGAATTCAATTGGGTTTCCATCAACTCCAAAAGTCCTTCAGGGCTAGATTCATTAACAATAAGACTCAACCGAAACAAGTAGACTCTTTGTGGGCAATGAAAATTAAGCCGAATGAGATTTTGTGTGAGTACTTGGCACATTATTGGGAGTGCTTTAATTTGGTGGATGGAGATTGCAACGACTCCATAGCAATCATTGCCTTCAAGATGGGATTGGATCCTGATAGCTCGCTTAAGAGTTCGTTGACTCGAAAGCTCTCCAAGACAGTTTGGGCCCTAATGAAGAGGGTCGAAGAGTATTGCAAAGTGAAAAATGATGCAAATCGAGTAAAAGCCGGACTGTAAGCTACGGAATCGATAGCACCTATTTTGGTACAGTTACTGACTGCTGCACCACCAAATGAAACGCCACCACGGAGGAGCCCAAAGCCAAGATGCCTATCAAGAAGGAAGAACCGCCGAGATTAGTGTTGATAGAATGAACAATATCAGGTAAAAAATAGGTGCTCCAGATGGTCAGATAAGAAATACACGGAACTGTCTGAGCAAATTAGTAAGATTTTGTCATAAATCCAACATCTGGCTTTCTTTAAATAGCCGCCTAAGATGTTTGGGCCCCTTGACATGAGACGGAGAGACCTGAGATATGAGTATCACAAAGACCATGGGCATGTGACTGAGAAATGCTACGCTTTGAAAGATCATTTAGAAGACTTGGTCCAGGGTGGCTAACTAACTGAATACCTCCCCAAAAGGGGTTGACCCACCAGGTGTGGTTGTCATACGCCCCGATTCACCGCCACTCGGCATAATTCACATGATATATAGCTTTACCCCCACCAAACAGGGTGAATACAATCCAGTTGCAACAATTCTCCTAACCCAGCTCCGAGCCCCGTATATCAACCAAATGACTATGGTTGTCAAACAAAATTAGCTTCTTCGACGCTGATCTCGAACGGGTCACGATGCCTCATGATGACGCTCTCATGATCGAGTTATGAGTAAATATGTTCACCGTTGGGTATATCCTGATCGACCAAGGAAGCACCTCTGAGATAATGTAGTACAAAAGTTTCTTAAGCTCGGCTTTAAGGATGTGGATCTCATGTTGGCTGACTACCCTCTTTTCGACTTTAATGTCAATTTGGAATACCCTCTAAGTAAGATCGTAATACCAGTACATGTAGGCACCAAGACGCTAGAGGTTGAATTCCTAGTGTCAAGCTTCCATCACCTTATAATATAATCATGGACCGAACATGGCTCCACACTATGCAGGCTATACTGAGTACTTACCATCATCTCCTTTGTTATCCGACTCAATACGACATCGAGCAAATCCGTGGTTCTCAGAAGTCAGCAAAGCATTATTATCTCACAGCCTTGGTGAAGAAGCCAAAGTAACTAGAAGTGAATTCAATTGAATTTTCAGATCAGGAAAGTCTTGAGGATGTTGGGAAGAGCTCAGTTGAGAAAGTAACAGAAGATCTGGACCGAGATAATTAATGATGATCTTGAGAAATTCGTTTTGGTTGGCACAGGTCTTAGTGCCACCGAGCGACAAGAGCTGGTTTCTTTCCTCCTTGACAGCATCGATGCTTTTGCATGGTCACCTTATGACATGCCAGGGGTAGACCCCGCCATCGTTATGCATAACTTGAATGTCGACTCCAAAGCTAAGCCATTCGTTTAGAGAAACTGCCGTTCAACTGCCAAACATGCTGCGACCGTAGTTGACAAAGTTGACAAGCTATTGGAAACTGGGGCAATTTGGGAAGTTACCTATCCTACGTAGTTATCCAACACTGTTGTGGTAAATAAAAAGATGAGGCCGTGGCATGCCTACATAGACTTTGCAGATTTGAACAAAACCTACCCCCAATGATTGTTTTCCTTTATCTTGAATTGATCAACTTGTGGATGCAACCGCCCAACATTATTGCATGAGCTTCCTAGATGCTTATAGAGGGTATCACCAAATTGCCATGGATCCGGCCGACAAAGACAAAAGTGCATTTTTCACTCCAAGGGGAACCTATTGTTACAAGGTTATGCCTTTTGGATTGAAAAATACCATGGTAACATATCAGAGATTGGTCACTATCATGTTCAAAGATCAAATTGGCAGAACCATGAAAGTTTACATTAATAATATGGTGGTGAAGTCCAAAGAAAAGGGTGCACACGAACCGCACTTGGAAGAGACATCGATGTTTACTTGCAATCATTGGTAGAGGAGTTAAACTGTCACGACCTAAACCCGCCCCGAGAA